TTTAGATATATATATTAATATTATTACTAAAAACTGATTCTTGAATCTCGTATTATGACCCACTCTATTAATACTAAACGCTATTAACTACTACATTAAAAGAAACTGAAAGAATAAAGTAACCATAAGCAAACAAAAGATAAAGGAAAATTAAATGCATGAAAATGAGCAAAAGAAAAGAGAGAACGTTACTTTAGCTTATGAATTCCCACAACTAATCATACTTAGCAAAATACGATCATAAAGCCGTATTGTCATGCATTTGTCAAGACAGAGTATCTGAGGACTTTATCTCAAAAAAAAGTTCAAAACTACCAACTTAAGCACCTGAACATGTATCACTAACATTTCTATCTTTACTAGCAATTTCTCATGAAACCAAGGTGACAATGAGTCATAATAACAAAGCAACTATGAACTAAAGAGGTTTAAAGCATGTTGTCAGCTGGAATATTCAGAGAAATCCAAAATTTATCATATGTACTCACACACAAAACCTTACAAGAGAACAAAATTCTTTTAAAGCTTAGAATAAACTGAAAACAAGAAAACTTCAAATTGCTTCGTCTCCATTCAGTCCTGACTCAAAATTGCAGTATCATTTTAAGAGAATTACCTGGATACCAGAAAGAAAATGTCAGCACGGAGAGGGGCTGAAATTCAACAACAAAAGCAGCCAAAAACATCAACAATCCAGCAACAAATAAGTGTTAAAACAACCTGAAAACCTTAGAGAAGAGACCTAGAACCAACTCTAAAGAAGACTTATATTTTTCTAAAAGTTTGCACTCAAAAATTCACTCACAATTTCAGTTTACTTTCTTTATGTTCAGCTGCTATTTTTTCTCTTAAGTTTTTTTGTCTTTAAAACAGCTCTAAAGATGTGTGTAAAAACTTGTCAAAATGTGTGATAGAGTGTAAAGGATATTCAGACTATGTCCTAGAGGATATGGAAAGATCTTACCTTTATAGAAGAGGAGAGAAGGACTCTTGGGACAGATTTTGTTTTAGCCAAAAATTATCCAAAATGATAGATTTTTGACCCAAAATCTGTCCAAAACCAAAAATCTGTCCAATGAACAGTTTGTCTTACCAACTGTGGACAAAAATTTGGAGTATTATACTCCAAAACAGTCCGCAATAGTGAAAGAAACCAAACACGGACCCTATATTCAAGTACTCTCCCTTTCTTTTCTTTCCTCTCAATCTCTCAAACTAGATTCTATGTTCAAACCAAACACATGACTCATATTACTCAAATCTTACTAAAATACACTCATAACTATTGAAGTGATAATATGCTAAGCATTTCAACACAGACTATCATCAAGCATTCAACCTATAGATTATCAATGTATTAGAACAAATGAACTTATGACTTGAATTACTCAACTAAACTAATTTACCATACTTCAGAATGAATCAAGATCACGGATGTCGATGATCAATTAACACAAATAAACAATCTAGTTGAACTTCATATAACCTATATCAATCAGTTAACAAAAGAAATTACAAACAAAACTAGAAGCTAATCAATCGAACTATCAAATTGTGGTCCTGAACCAACATGAAACAACCAAACTACCAACTGCCAGTCCCAAACCAAACCAAAACATGATTTGAATCTAGCAAATATCATCTAGTTAAAAATGAAAAGATAAAAACAAGGTAAACTAACAGAACTGATCATGTTTCCCATGATATGCTAATCAAAACGTATAACACGACTAATACAAACAAGACTAAATGAGTGCACATTAACCAAAAGACTTAATCTTTGAAACAAAATGCATAATTCAAACTAATATACATGAGTCGAAATCAACACTTAAAATTACCTATAAATGATATAAACGATATTGAAGCAAAACTGAAACTAATTGAAATTGAATACTACCCAATTACGTGAGATTAAACGAGACAGAAACTAAAATATGATCCTAGTTTTAATAAACAGAACAAAAAATCAGAAAAGAGGGAAATGGATAAAGGTTTTACCACACGAGGAAATCGACCTTGAAACGAGCGTTTCTTTCTACCACACTTTGAATCCAATGAGTTCCAACATCGTGCTAGAGAGAAGCGAACGTATTTGGGTCGGAATAGGCTAAAACAATAGGGGCATTGGGGTGTGGTGGTTGCCAGCAGTGGCGGTGGTTGCCAGAATCCGGCCGAACTTCTGTCGGAGTTTTTGGGTGAAACCAACATAGGATGATAGATCATGTGGAGCTCTACATGCCTATGCAAGTATTTTATGAATGAGAGGTCTAAAACTCGACGAATTTACAAAATAAAGTGGGCTAGGGTTTCGGATTTTGGTTTATTCGTGGAGTTTGGGAGGGATTCAAGGGATTTGGTTCATGGATTTGGAAATGGGGAAGTGAGGGGAGGTCATGGTGTGAATTTGGGGTGGATTGAAAGTGGTCCGTCGGCGGCTAAGGTTTCGGCCAATTAGATCTACGGATTTGGGGGGGGGGGGGTTGAAAGTTTTGAGGTTTGGAATCAAAAAGAGGAGAGTGAGGGGAGAAGAATGGTGTAAATTTTATGGTCTTTGGACGACATCCGCCGGTGGTGACGATTTCCGGCCGGCGAGATAGAGAGACGAGAGAGTGATGAGAGATTGAGGAGAGAGGAAGAAGAAAAGAAAATAGGGAAAAATGGGGGGTCAAATTTCTGATCTTGAGGCCTTATATAAATAGAGTGGAGAGTGAATTAGAACCCTTAGATCAAAGTGATATGAATGGATGAGATTTAATCTCACCTCACTTATCAAAACGATGTAGTTTTGAGGCGTCTCTCATACCACAAACCTGGATCGGATCCTGGGCCCCAATTTTGGTCCAAATTGGACCGATTTTGTCTTTAAAATGGCTAGCCCAATCCCTTATCCCCTTTATCAACTATTTAAAATAAACTAATTTTAAAAATAAAAATAAAAGATAAAAATACACACCCAACAATACTAAAAGATATAATCTAAGAGAAAAAAAAAAGAACAAAAGTTAGGCATTTACAAAAGTTGATTGCTCTTTTAAAATATTGAAGCCTCACTTTTTCTATTTCAACATACATGTCATACACAAAATCTTCAGTTTCTTCGTGTACACCTACAAGTAATATGTATTTAATACACCAATAAGTGCTAGAATTCAAATTACATCGTTGAATACTAAGAATTGGATTGCCAGATGAGTCCTTTTTTATCCATCGACTAAATTAGGTAATTAAGTAAGAAAAATTAAAGAAAAAGATTCACATATGCCATATACTATTCAAAGTAAAATTTTATATTTTTCAGTAAAATATTTGAGCTTAATATATCATCATTGAAAAAACAATTTGAGTTGCATAATGAGTCCTCTTTTATCTACTGCTGAAAATTAGATAATCAATAGGTCATAATATTTAATGTGCTACTCAAAATTACTTCAAGTTCATATTTTTCAATAAAATATTTGAGCTTGATATCTTATTCGGGTGGCTATGGTCCTTCTTCACTTAACCTTATCACTGCAAGTAGCTCTCCTCAATTAATTAAGTGAGTTTAGATAAAGACAATATAAGTTGAAGTGTGTTTCCTGTAAAATAATTTTATGAATGCAACAAACTAAAAGCATTAGAATGGGGAAACTTGCAGAGTCGTTGGTAAATTTGTGCGCATTCATCTTGTTCAAATATAGGATCTTGTCTGCAAGAGTAAGAAGCATATAATAGCAGTATTATAAGTCAAGTGGCAACATCTTTCATCAGATATCATATTCTAGATTTATTTATATTACAAGATATTATATTCTAGATCTATTTATATTACAGAAGATTGTACTACAAAGCTTTTCGATATTTGGTAAGAGTTGTTTTGTAATCTTAATTAGATGAAGAAGTTTGGGATAAATAAAAAGAACTAAAAAAGAGAAAGGCAAATGCTAATGACAAGAGAAGCAACTATTGAACTTAGAGGTGGAATCTTTTGCTTTTACAAGGAGGTTAAACTCTTCATATGTCATTGCAAGATGAACGTTTATTTGGAAACGTCAATAAAATATAAATTAGATAAAATGTTAGCAATTGAGATTATTACTTGCAAGTTGATGGAGGAATGATTGAATAAATCAAGAATTTGCTCGTTATTATTTATTCCATGCGTGCCTCCAATTCCTGTACCAAAATAACCAAAATAGCGATATCACCATATCCATGCTTGAAATAAAAATAAGATCAATATTATAAGTAAAAATTCCATCCTCACTATTCTATTGCAATGAAGAAAGTCCCACATAAACTAATGCAAGAAGTAATCTAAATCCACGGTTATGTGAGCTCCTTTTATTTTTTATTAATATTTTCACATAGGCTCTTTAATACATAATATTTATGATATTTAATTTTGATATACAATTATTTCAAAATAAAAAAAAATAATGTAGAAAATAAATGTTGAACCGAGAATGATCCAATTATTTTAGTTGGACTTGCTATTAACCAGGAAAAAACTCCAAATCCTTATAAACTTCAAAACAAAATGCCAACTCTAAACACTGCTTATTTTCTCTACCAACATTTGGAAGCAACAACCAAATATATTAGAGAATAAATTGAAATTACAAGTAACAACGTAATAGATTCTCACTTTGAATATAAAGCCTCATTCCTCAAACAAATTCTGCTCTATACCAGGTCTTAAAAAAAGGCAAATTTTTTGGTATACGGGCACTTTTCAAGACTCAACGTCAAAAATGCTGGAAAAGAGAAATACCATAATAATGAAATAGGACTTTTTATAACTGTGCTTTTCAAAAACGACCAAGTGTAAGGAGCTAAATTAAATCCAGAATTTTCAATTTAATTTCTGTCGTTGTAAACCCGGAGACAACTAAATTCGGGCTGTAACAAATTATAAAAGTAGACCTACAAATCCATAAACTTACCCGTAACTGAAAATAAGTTGAGAAACAAATATATAAACTCAAAACGGAATCAATAGAACCATTTCACAGAACATATCCCAATTCAATAACAAATTGTAAAAGTAGATATAGAAATCTGTATTTGAAAATAAGTTGAGAATTAAACAAAAAGCATAATTTTTAAAAAGGAGTCAAACGTGGTGAAAGTTTTAGCCTACAGGGTAAAACTAAGAAGAGTGAGTTAAAAGTGTCAAAAGAAATTTTAATTTTAAAGAGGATAAATGGTGGCAACTCTTCTTCAAAAAAGAGGCCGCCTTGAGCTTGGAGTCTTTTCCGTAGAGTGGCTTCTGTTCGTAGGCGTATTTTAGGTTTCAATACAGTGTTTTTTGGTTAATAATAATAAAAGGATATTTGGGTATTTAAGTTAATTAAAAGGATACTTTAATAGATAATAAAGGGGTAATTTGACTTTTAAATTGTGATGTTCCTGTTTTTAATATACTAGTCTTACGATACGCGCAACTAACCTATCTAAATGAGTATAAAACTTTTAAAAAATTATATAAGTATTATTTTTGAATTAAAATAAATGTAAATTTATTTCAACAAAGAATATTGATTATGTATAGTTAATTCAATACGGAATATCAATTTATACCTTTCGCTCTCTATGTTTTTTTTAGCTCTTTTAACTACTACCTTAAATTACTTATGAATAGATGTAACTAATTTATTTTCATTAATTTCAATATATAAATTTATCTTATTTATGTTTTACTTTTCGAGTATTGTAATTGGATTTGTAATTTAATATGTGTATAAATTTACAATATGTATTCAACTTTCAAATAATTAACTTAAAGTTCATTATAGTAATTTATTACTTTAAATTGAAATACTACCATTATTTTCTAAACGTAAGCATGCCGTATTAAACTTATATATGTTTTCATACTCGACCTAGTATGTTGTAAGTTGGTCTATATATTATTAGTAATCTTTAATTTTTGAAGACTTAAAATTAGATCTAAATTTTATTAGTAGATATCTAACACATTTGTATATATTTTGTCTAATACACATAAGAAAAAGTCATAATTACTTTACACAATTTGTTTACGGAAATGATTTATAAGTAAATTTTTATTTGGTTTTAAATTCCTAAAATTTAGGAGTTTCTATATATGTAGTTCGAACAAGGGAAGATTTAGTTACCAAAATTTAGTTGATTTTAAAGTTCTAATTAGCTATCTATAGATATCATTTGCTATATTACGGATTGTAGATAAGTTTTCTGTTGTTATAAGATGTATTAGATGTATTTAAGCTACTGTATTCATGAATATAGTAGCAAAAACAGGCGTGAATCAGGGAAGTCCAGCTAATCAGTTGTTGTATTCGACTGTATTCATGGCGTGAAATATGAGATTACAGCGGGATATATTATTATATTTGACTGTATTCGACTGTATTCACGGCGTAAAACAGGGGATTACACTGTTTTTAAAAGGAAAGTGAATCAATTAACATAATAGACTCCTAATATAACTCAACAAACTCAATTATAACACACAAATTTTGTATTTCCAGTTATAAAAAAGATTCTCAACCGAAAAATACCCCAAAAATATAGCAATTTTCAGAGAAATTATATAATACATCTGAATACATAAATTATATTTATTAAAAAAATATATGAATACATTCATGGCATATAGCGAGACAGTGAATACAATGGAATACATAGAATACAACGGGATACATTGAAATACAATGAAAAAAAGACAGTGAATACAATGAAATACATGAAAATACAGCGAGATACATTGAATTACAATAAAAAAAAAGACAATGAACACCCTGCTTTGAGTTTGCCTTTTCCTTTTGTTGTTCGACTGACGAAGCATTTTTGTATGAAATTGTGACCTACGGTTTCGATTGATGAGGTCAAGGGTTTGGATTTTGCAATTTCGGTTATTCGCATCATCTTGATTTCATTGCGTAATGCTCAAAACCTAGGATGAATCTGGCTTTGCAATGAAAAGTGAAAGTGACGATGTAATTGGAAACCCTCAAAAACCCTTCTTGGGTCGCGGCAAATATAGAAATTAAGAAAGAGAAATTTTTATGTATCAAAGTAGAGAGAGAAAGAAAATAGTATAGCTGAATAGCGTATTTAGTGGCTTAGGAGTAGGAGATAATCAAAATTAGATATTTTGCTATAAACATAAAAAGGTATGTATAGAATATAATTTTTTAAAATGGTATTTATTTAAAATAAATAAGGTGTTAACCTTTGCTATAGGAGGTAAAAATTCCTAATAAAAACCCTTCAACCTCACTTTTATGCGTCACCCCCTTCCCAGCCGCCTCCCCTACGTCCCCTTCCCAGCTGCCTCCCCATTTCTTTCATTTTCCCATTTTCTTCTTCAACAACAATTTCTCTCTTCACATGTATAGAGCAAACCAACAGAATCACTGGCTAGATAGTCCGGCGCCTTCTCTCTTTCCAGGTATGTTTATGCATTTACATCTTAGAATTTTTGTGATGACCTAAAAGGTCATCACTTATTTTAAATCAAAACTTCCGTGTTCTGAGGCCTTGAAAACCTCATTTAGAGTCACCTCGATTTGTGTTCACAGTCTGGGCGCGTAGCCGGAAAGCTTAAATATGAAATTTTGTGAAAAATGATAAGTTTTGACTGTAAAATTAATAAATTTGAGTTCGGTAAACATTTTGGGTAAACATATCTGG